CACTACTACACACACACACACACACACACACACACACACACATAAACACACACACACACACACACACACACACGCGCGCATACCCGCACACCCCAGACACACGTCATACACATACCCTACTCACCCCCCCCCCCCCTCCCTCCTCCTCCTCGGGCACGTGACACCTTAGCGCGGTGCCCGACGAGGTGACCTCAGTGACGCAGTTTGATGCTGGGCTGGTGGTCGAGGCCATCTCGGTCGGATTGCACATGATGAACGAAGAACTGGCTTTCCCGACTCAGTTGCCTCCGTCAATGTCGGCAAAGGTTCGCCTGTGCAACGCCATGGCAGAGGCCGTCAAGGAGCTCGGCTACCGCGGTGAGATTGGCTACGCCTCCATCATTTACACCCACGAGAAGGAGATCCGGGAACTGTTTGTCTGGCTCACCTCCCACATGCAGGAGGTTGGCGGCGTGGCGCCCGAGGCTGCACAGGCCGCGCCCGATCCGGGCTCGGACTCGCGGGCCCAGCTGATGAGGGCCGTCAAGTCGCGGGTCAACGCTCTTGTCAAGCGCGAGTCGTGGCGCTCGCCGCGGCTCCCGCGCCGGGCGTCGATGGTGCAGCGCGGCTCGGGAGCGACGTTTAAGGTTGCCACCGCGCGCCTCTACGCCCCGGGCCGGTACAAGGGCAAGAAGAACGCCGCCGTCCTCCGCTACCTCCGCCGCTACCTGCCGCTGGTCACTCTCCAGCCGCCGGACACCATGGACGTGGCGCCGTCGATCATGGAGGACAATGTGACGCAGGTCCTGCAAAAAGCTGACGTCGAGAACGAGTGGAACACCGCCGGCCTCGAGTCGGGCCTCACCCAGGCCCAGTACTGGGCGACCAAGAAGCAGGCGCTCATGTCCTCGTTTGCCTCGGACATCCACAAGGCGGTCCTCCTCAAGAAGCCCTCGCTCGAGTCCGAGTCCAAGGGCGCGCTCCGTGCCACCCACCAGTCGCTCTTTGTCCTCTCCTCCATGTTCAAGACTGGTAAGTCGAACCCGGCGCAGGCCGCCGTTGCCAAGGAGGCCGACGCCGAGCCGGTCGAGACCGAGGAGCAGGTCGCCGCCAAGCGCGCCGCCATCCTCTCGGACCTGCAGGCCGAGGAGGATGAGCTCTCGTACAACATCTCGGACGCAAACCGCCGTATTGCCGCTCTTGATGCCGAGCTGCACACGCTGCAGGAGCGGTTCAAGACTGAGGTGGCCAAGAAAAAGGAGCTCGAGGCTGCGTACATGTTTGAGAAGCGGGTCTTTGACGCCCTGGATGACCCCGAGCCAGCCATCGCCGAGCTCACCGCTAAGGTCGCCGCCATGCGCAAGGCGCTCGTCGAGCTGGCCGGGAAGTGGGAGCTCCGGCGCGCCCCGCTTGTGGCCAAGATCCGCGAGCTCAAGTCGGGCGAGGGTGACACCATGATCGAGATCAACGCGCTCATGGGCGCCATCCGCGACATCCGCGACGCCATGAAGGGCGTCATGGACGAGGGCCGCGAGCAGGAGGCCATCTACCAGGGCCTTCTCGCCGAGTACAAGGCCCTGCCCAAGGACATCACCCGCTCGCACTACACCAAGCGCATCCTCGACATTGTGGCACAAGTCCGCAAGCAAAAGGTCGACATCGACAAGGTTCTCATCGACACCCGCGCCCTCCAGCGCGACATCAACACCGTGACCGAGAAGCTCAAGCGCTCGTTTGCCATCACCGACGAGCTTATTTACGAGGACGCGCCTAACGACAAGGACGCCAAGGCCTCGTACCGCGCCCTCGCCTCGCTTCACTCGCGCTTTGACGAGCTCATCGAGACAGTCCGCTCCATCGGCCATCTCGGCAACGAGATCCGCGACCTCGAGGCCAAGCACGCCAAGCTCGCCGACGCCAACGCCTCGCTCCAAGTCGATCGCCTCGAGGCCGACTATGAGGCCATTCGCTCCGAGAACAAGCAGCTAATTGCCCGCCTCAAGGCCATCGCCGAGGGCCTCGACGACCCAGGCGCCAACGCCGACGATGACGCCGATGCCGACGACGACGAGTACGACGACACCGACGCTGACTACGACGAGGTGGAGTACGAGTACGAGGAGGTCGATGACGATGATCTCTTCGCCGCGGGCGACGATGCCGACGACGACGCTGACGATCCCGACGGGGACGACGACAGCGACGAGTAGCTCGCGTCCGCGGCCTGCGAAGGAAACGGGCCTCGTTTACCGCCGTCTACATAAAATCGAGGTCGTCCGCAAGCGCAGCGAGGTCGCTCTCGGAGAGCGCCGCCAGTGCGTCCTCAACCTCGACCTCGGACTTTGTCCGCGGCCGCGACTTCTTCTTGGCGGCGGCGGCGGCCTTCTTACGCTCGACGGCGTCCCAGTCTTTGAGATCCTTGTCGCGGCCCTTGTACACGACGTAGTCGTTGCCAATCGTGGACTCGAGGGCTTCAACAATGAGGGCTTCGCGCAGCTTGTCGCGGTCGATCTTGGCCTTGGGCATCGCCTCGACCTGCTTGACCACCGACGGCTTGAGCGCCGGCTTCTGGCCCGAGAGCTCGAGCGCGAGCTCCGCGAGCTCTGCCTCGCTCAGTCCCTCGAGGATCTCCTCCTCCTCGCGGGTCAGGGGTGCGGCTGCAGCATCAATGGCAGCGGCGGCCTTCTTACCCTTCTTACCCTTCTTGCCCTTCTTGCCGCTCTCCTCATTGGCGCTGCTCGCCGCGGCTTCCGCCGCAACCTTCTCCTTCTCGGCGCGGCGCTTGGCGGTAAACGACTCGTCACTGCGCTTCTTGTACTCTTTCTTCTTGCGAGTCACGCCGCCTTTGGTCACCTTGACCGCGGCCTTTGGCTTCTCGGCCGCGGGCTCGGGAGCGTCGGCAGGCGCCTCGTCCTCGCCGCCGGTTGCAATGAGCTGCGAGATGTCCTCTGCGGCGTTCGGGTCGATGGCGCCGGCCTTGGCCTTGTCCTTCTTGGGCGTTTTCTTCCCCTTTTTGTCTTTCTTGGGCGTCTTGGACCCCTTCTTGCCGTTCTTGTTGTTCTTGTCGTTCTTGCCCTTCTTGCCCTTCTTGCCCTTCTTGCCCTTCTTGCCCTTCTTGGGCGTGTCGTCGGTAGCGTCGGCGGTGTCGGCAGCGGCGTCGGCAGCGGTCGAGGGCTCGGTCTCAGCCTCAGATGCAGGTTCGGGTGCGGGCGCGGCCTTGTCCTTCTTGGGTGTCTTGGACCCCTTTTTGTCGTTCTTGCCCTTCTTGCCCTTCTTGCTCTTCTTGCCCTTCTTGGGCGTGTCGTCGGCAGCGGCGTCGGCAGCGGTCGAGGGCTCGGTCTCAGCCTCAGATGCAGGTTCGGGTGCGGGCGCGGCCTTGTCCTTCTTGGGCGTCTTGGACCCCTTCTTGTCGTTCTTGCCCTTCTTGCCCTTCTTGCTCTTCTTGCCCTTCTTGGGCGTGTCGTCGGCGGTGGCGGTAGCGTCGGCGGTGTCGGCAGCGGCGTCGGCAGCGGCGTCGGCAGCGGTCTTGGCCTCGGCCACACCGACAGCTTCGGCCACACCCTCACCCTCACCCTCACCCTCAGCCAGAGCCACACCCTCGGCCCCGGCTACGGCTTCAGGATCAGGAGAAGCCTCACTATCAGCCTTGGACGAGTCTCCCACAGCCGTCACCGACGGACCGGCAGCAGCCTTCACCGCCTTGACCGGACCCGCCGTACCACTTGCGCCAACTACCACACCGCCCCCCCCCCCCCCCCCACCACACACACACCCATCCGCCCCAAGCCACACCATGAGTACCCGCGCATACCACCAGCAAGCCCGGACCGACCACCAACTGTGCCATGGGCTCATGGCTGCAAGCCATGTTCAGGTGCAGGGTCACACTGCGGGGGAGTCACACAGGCATGCGGCACGTACTCCAGGCAACAAGCAGAGAGTCGCCAGCAGCAATGCCGAGGTCCTTGGTCGTCTTGGTCATGTCCAGCAAGGAGGCATGCTCAATGGGTGCGTCGGGCGAGGAGAGGCCGAAGAGACCGTACTTGGCCATGCGCTTGGTGCCCTTGAAGCCGACCTTTTTCAGCGTCCTCTCCTTAAGCTCATGCAATGGCAGCTTGTTGGTCACTTGCACCTCATCATGCACACTACGTTCGCCGTCCTTGGTCACAACAACAATGTTCAGCTTGGGCATGGTCCTCCAAGAATGATCTTTGCTCCACTTCCCGCCTTGCCTCTCTTCGTTCCCTCTCTCTCTCTCTCTCTCTCTCTCTCTCTCTCGCTGGCGCTTTTTCGGGAGAAAAGTGCTTCGTTCACTGGCACGCTGACACGCCGGCTCGCTGGCACGCAGACAGGTCGATACGCCGACACAGCGACACGCAGACACAGCGACACGCAGACACGCTGACACGAAGACTGGCCGATACGCAGACACGCTGACATGCCGATACGCAGACACGCTGACATGCCGATACGCAGATACACCGACACACAGACACAGCGACACGAAGACTGGCCGATACGCAGACACGCAGACATGCCGATACGCAGATACACCGATACACAGACACAACAATACACAGACACAACAATACACCGATACGCCAATACGCCAATACAGTGTCAATCGCCCACAACAGTGTGATCTGCGACCAAATTCATTCCGCCTCCGCCTCTCCCTCCCTCGCACCCGGTGATGGTCTGTCTCTACATTACTTTGGCTTAGCTCTGCGGCGTGAAGACGTGGACGGTTCCAGAGTCCGATGCAACGTACAGCGCGGCGGCCTTGGGCGCAAAGACGACTGCGGTAGCCGCGCCCTCGGGTGAGTTGAGGGTGACGATCGCCGCCGGAGACTGCTCCGGTGCGTCGTCGCCGTCGTCAGCGGCAGGATCCATGCTGCCGTAGATGGCCACCTGCTCGCCCACGCCCACCGCAAGGTACGTTCCGGTGGCGTCAAAGCCGAGCGCCGAGACCGGCGCCGAGTGGCGGAGGACGCGGAAGACCTGCTGGTTGCGCAGGTCAAAGGCACAGACCGTGCCGTCGGCAAAGCCGCCGGCAACCACGTACCCGATCTCCGAGAACGCCACGTGGGTGCAGCTGCCGGCGCCCGCAGGTGCCGCCAGCTCGGCAATCCGGGCCATCGTCTGCAGCGACCAGATCTCAACACATCCAGCCTCGGAGGCCGCACCAAGGATGAGCCCGTCTGGGTGAAAGGCGACCGCGTGGAGCGGCGCCGTGTTGCCGCCGCGCGCCTCGGCGCCCTTCTGCGTCACCACAGCGCCGTCGCTCGCCGAGTACAGCGCCAGCGTCCCGTCGTCCGAGCTCGTCACGTACAGCTTGCCGGTGTGGTGGACGTCGACGCCGGTCACCGCTCCATTGTGCACCTTGTTGTGCAAATGGGTCTTGTGGTAGCTCCCGCTTTCATCGCGGGTCCACATCCGCGCGCTCCCGTCGCTCGACGCCGTGTACACAACGCTTGCCCCGTCGGCCACCGCCGCCGCCGCCGTCACACGCCCCTTGTGCCCGCGCAGCGTCGCCACCACACTCCCGTCCACCGCCGATGCAATCTTGACCACTCCGTGGCCTGAGCCGACCACAAGCGTCTGTCCGTGACTCGCCACGTGCTCACCCGCAGCCACGCCCGCGGCCACCGGCACCGCCACCGAGATCCCGCCCTTGTCTGCAGGGAAGACGTGGGTGAGCGGCACCTCATCTGCCGCCGCAAACTCAGCCACCATCGACGTCGTAGCCATGTCCGGCGGTGGCACTGCCTTCTTCCGCAGCTTGCGCACCGCCTTGCCCGCCTTGCTCAACGCCTTGAACTCGGCCGGCGAGAAGACATCCGCCGGGCCGTCGCCTGCTGCTGGAGCTGCAGCAGCCGCCGAAGGAGCCGGAGCTGCCTCGCCAGCCACGTCCATTGCCGCCACGCCCGAGTCCGTCCCGTTGCCCGCAGCTCCACCGCTGGTGGCAGGCGTCGGGAGCGAGGCCGGAATCGACTTGTTGAGGGCCGTCAGTGCGGCGCGGGCCTCATCGCGCTCGCGCACCAGGCGGGCAATGACCCGAGCAGCTGCGTCGTTCTTGTACAGGGCATGAGCCAGCTCCTGGCGGGTGGCCAGCAGTGCTTGCTTGACCTGGAACGACTCGAGCATGACCGCGTCCCACTCTGCCTGAAAGGCAGCGAGCATGCCCGGGATGGAGTTGGCTGAGGGCGGGCGGGGCGCCGCAAAGGCCGTCTTTGGTGCCACCACCTCGATCAGCTGATCCATGCCCAGCGGATTGCCGGTGTGCGGACAGCGTCCGTCGCTCTCCAGATGCTGCCCAATGAGCCGCTTCTCGTACACATACCCCGTAGCCGGGTCCACCACAGGCTCCTTAGCCACCGTGTTCGACACTGCATACCAAAGAAGGGAAGGAATGAGTGAGTGACCAGTATGTATGCTGTCGTAAGGGGGGAGGGGAGGGGGGGGAAGGGGAGGAGGTGCTGGTACTGGCTGGCCCTTTGCCCGGCTGGCTGGCCGGGGATTAGCTGCTTGCGTTGGTACGAGGTCGCTGGCCGGAGGGGGGGGGGGGGGGGGGGGGGGATGGGCTGCTTAGCACCAGCTAGACCAGACACATGACCTTCCGCACAAGCACACAAGCACACAAACTCACTCACTCACTCGTGTGTGTGTTCATATGGGTGTGGCTGGGGCGAGTGTGGGTACGTACGGGAGCAGAACATGATGTGCGAAGTGGGGTGCCGACCGGGCGGGCTGGTCGCTGGTTGGTGGCTTGTCGGCTCGTCGGTTCGTCAGCAGCTGCTGACTCTACGCCTGATGCAAGCGCAATATGCATTGTGTAGCGTATCCATGACAGGTGATCATATGCTGTGCTCGCTCGGTGGCGCGCTTTTGTGTCGGCAGGTGCCTACGACTGGACAGGGACGTCGGGGTGGCCCCATCGCGGATCAGATGTGTGCAGGTGTGGGACGGCGGCGTACTTGGGCCACGGAAAGATGACTACTGCGGCGAGGACAGCCTGCACCATCGGTGTCGGCCGCTTGTCGCCACGGAGGAGGGCGATGCGCTCGGCCGGCGCAACAACGTTAGACTCGCGGAGGAGACGTGCCGGCGCCGACAGCGACCCTCTGTTCAGCAATTCAGCCAGGAAGCTACACGCATGCTCCGGATGCGCATACATTTTGTCAGCGAGGGCGGCCGAGAGCTTGTCGCGGGCGAGGTTGCCTTCCTGGTGGGTGTATGCCCGTAAAAAGAGCGCGCGGGCGTAGGTGTCGTGGAAGACGCCTGCAGCCTCGAGGAGAGGGAGGACATAGATGCCGTCGAACGGTATAGTCCCACGCTTCAGCTGAATCATGATCGGGTCGTAGAGCCACTCGATGTAGGTCCCGAGTGAGCGCGCCGGAAGTGGGACCTGGATCCGAGTGGCGAGACCATCGGTGCCGTACTCGACGATGAAGCCGCGGTCGGCGGCCATGGCCTCGGTCCAGGCTTCAGTGTCAACGACAAACGGGTGGTGGCACGCCGGATCCGGCTGCAACGATACTTCGCGGGGAGTGGTCGCGGACGCGTTCATGGCCTCGCGATCGACGACAGCCGCAAACGCCGCTGATCGCAGCGCGAGGACCACTCGGTGGGCGCGGATGGCGAGCGGCGGCTCACCGGGCCAGGTCGACTCGACAACCACGTCGGACGTGGCGAGGGCAAATCGCTCCGTCCACGGGTACGTCCGAAATGGGTTAGGATACACCTCGGGATCAAGAAGGTGGTCAAATGTGGTGATGTACGTCCCGTTGTTGAATTGCTCACCGGCGACTGTCCCGTTGTACACCGCCGAGTCCACGGTTTTGGCAAACGAGTGGATCCAGGACTGCGAGAGCGTGAAGATGGAGACTGCACGCCGCAGCTTTGAGAGATCATCCATGGTAACAAACGCCGGCATGGCGGTGAGGGTGCGCGGGAGGCGCAACAAACTTGCCTCGCCAGCCGAGAGATCGGCCCATGCTCGTGGCAGCGGGCCGACCGCCAAGGTGTTGACTTCAAGCGGAACAGGTGGGTCGTTGACGGCGGCCATCATCTCGGCGTCGTTGTAGAGCTTCTTCTTGCGGTGGCTCTTGGTGGCAATCGCCTTTTCAACTGCGCGCACATGGCGAAAGTCGGAGTCGTTGGCAAGAGAGATCCGCGAAAAGTACGGTGCGTAGAGCCCGGCAGCGAGCGGCGAGTAGAGCGGGAGGCTCTCACGCCCGCATGCATCGGGCTCGATGAGATACAGCTCGGCGTCGGCGAGGCGGGAAAACTTTTGATCAAGAACCGCAAGAACGCTGTCGCTGTACCCGAGCTTGCCTGGGTAGCAGGCGGGGCGGGCGGTCCTGGAGGCCTGCGAGTCGAGGTTGATGCTGCCGACTTGCGGCAACGGCGCGCGCAGCGTCGGTAGTTGCGGCTTGGGCAGCGTCGGATCGGCAATAAACGCGCTCACCACTGCCGCTACCTTGCGGACGAAACGAATGAGCTTGGCAGTGATGAACGCCGAGAACTGGCCTGACTCGATGTGGTAGTTGTAACCGGCCTCGTGGAGCCTGCGGGCGAGGAGCCACGCCGAGCGCGGCTTGGGCGCGCTGAGTGCGACATCAAGCGGCATGTCGCCGCCGACCGGCGAGCGGGTCACGCTCACGCCAGCCGCGCCTCTGCTGCCTGACGGTCCGGCGCCATCGTCCCCTCCGATCATCATCCTGCAGAGGACGCGGCGACCGACGTCGGCAGCAGTCTGTGGCGACGAGTCGGGCTCCAGCTCGGCTGCGATGGCGGAGGTCAGGCCACTCAGATCGACAGGCGTCGGCGAAGAGTCGTGATTTGCCACGAGGAAGAAGTGCACGTGATCCGGCGAGCGGTCGGCGAACATGGTGCGGGCGGTCTCGGCCCACACGCCGATGGCGCTTGCCAGCGACTTTGGATCGGTCAGCGAGTACACAAGCATGACGGCGACGTAAGGCTCGGGCACGGCACGTGATGCGTCCCACTGATAGCGGGATGACAGGCACGAGGTATCTGGCGTGGGCAAGTTGGCGACGCTGGTCGGGACCCACGTAAAGCCGACCCGGGTGCCTGGACCGAGCGCCCCGGCCTCGGCCGAGACTGCCTCATTGCTGCCGGATATGTACCCGCGGGCGAGCGCATTGGCCAGTTTGGAAGCCCCGGATGAGTCATCGCCGAACATGACTATGTGGAGACGCTGAGCCATGGTGGCGGTGGTGGGGGTGGAGGAGGTGGGGAGGGGATGGGGGGGGGGGATGGGGGGTGGACAGGTGTTAGGGGGTTTGAGTGAGGAGCTGTGCTTCCATTGCTCGAATGGGGGGAGGGGGTGCGTCCAACAACAACAATCGTTAACCAACGATTATTCCACACACACTGCAACAACAGCAATCGTTAGCCAACGATTATTCCACACACACTGCAACAACAACAATCGTTAGCCAACGATTATCCCCCACACACTGCAACAACAACAATCGTTAGCCAACGATTATCCCCCACACACTGCAACAACAACAATCGTTAGCCAACGATTAACCAAGTCCAAACCCTCGTGCTCGCCCGGCCACACCCCTCTGTGCCACACATGGCGTACGCCACAGGCGACGACCATGCCCGAGCCGTCTTCACACGAATAGACGAGGTACGCACGCCCCCCCCCCCCTCCCTCCCTCCCTCCCTCCCTCCCTCCCTCCTCTTCCCCACACCCACTCACCACCACCACCACCACCACCGCCAGACCCTCGCCGCCATGGCCTCGACCAGCAAGCTGTCCAAGACCAAGACCAAGGAGGTGATCGATGCGCTCCGGCAGGGCCTCCAGCTGGTCATTGCGGCGCCGACGGTGGCGACGGTCATGACTGATGGCACGGCTCTCGCGCTGGACGCTGTCATGCTGGACGGACGCCTCCCGCATCGGATCCGGTTCCTCGCCGGCTGGATCCTCCGTGCCGCCGGCGAGAACCAGGGTCTGTACAACTCGTCAGCACGAGTCATCGGCTCACCCGGCCAAACCGTCTTTCATCTTCCGCTCGCGCTTGCTCTCTGTCCCGCTCGCCGCCAGAGAGCGCAAAGATCGCCGAGTTTGTTCCGCTCCTCGACCTCTCGCCGGCAGGCAAGTCGCTCACCCGCGCGTGCTCGCTCATCGCGTACGCCACGGTTGCGATCGAGGGCGTGGTGGACGGCAACGAGGCGGCAGCACTCCATGCCGTCTTTGACGAAGCTCTGGCCTCGGTCCTCGCCCGTGGCTACACCCAGCCTGCGGTTGAGCGCAAGCGCGAGTCGGTGTGGGGATTCGGCTCGTCGAGCTCGGGCAGCGGCTCAGGCGGGCCAGTCGAGGTAACCGAGCTTGACGGCTCACGGGCTCTCGGCCCAGCGACCATTCTCTCCATCACCGGCAAGTACTCGCACGAGCAGCTCTTTGCGGCGCTCGCCTTTTCATTGGTGCGAGAGCTGCTGAGCGCAAACGCCTCGGTCCACAGCCCGGCGCTTCGCGACGCACTGCTTGGCTACTGCATGCGGCTGCTAGCGCAGGCTGAGAAGACCGAGTCGGCCTCGCTCTTTGACTCGCTCGCCAACGCCTCTGGATTTACACTTTCGCGGACCAAGGCCCACCCAATCGACGAGGCTTCGCTGCAGGCTGCGACCGTCGACGTGGTGCGGCTGCTCGACACCCTCGCCGCGCAGGATCCAGACGTCATCCCGGACGTTTTTCCCATTGTGCAGCGGCTGTATGCACGCAACCTCAAGCGGCCTGACGGCTTTGTCTTTCTCGCCCTTCTCCGCTTCTTCCTCCACCACTCGGCCGCGGTCGGCTATGACACCGACCCGGTCTTTGCCGCCTTCTTTCAGGGCTTTCTGGGAAACCACGTCGACGACACGCTGCTAACGACGGCGACGCTCGGGTTCTGCCTCGGCGCCGCCGACGAGCTCGCCGCCAGCACCGGGGTCTTCAAGCACTACTACCCAGTCCTCCTCCAGGCCATCGCCTTTGCCCCGCACACTCTCGCCGCTGACGCGCTGGCCCTGCTGCCGCGCATCGCGTCGAGCGCATCGGCCGTGGAGCTTCTGCACTCGCTCCTCGATTTGCCGCTCATGTCGGCCACGATGGAGACCCGCCGTGCTGGCGGCGCCGCCGCCGCCGTCTACCGCGTCCTCTACAACTACGTGCTCCGGACTGAGGCCGGCGTCTCGATCAACTTTTGGGAGTCGACCACAACCGCCGAGCTCATGTCGTCGTTCTGCGCCGAAATCCGCATGTCGCCGCGCATCCACGCCGCCGCCCAGCTCGCGCCGGCGCTACTCACCGCCTTCTTCGACGTTGTCCTCGCCCTCCCACACCTTGACTCGAGCCTCGCCACCACGCTCTTTACTCATGCCCTTGCCCGCTTTGAGCAGCTCTTTCTCCTTGACCTCTACACCGTCGCCGTCCGTGGGGTTCTTGTCGAGTACGTGCTCGCGCTTATCTCGCGCTTTCCCATCCTCGTCGCCACCGCCCGCGACGACATTGTGGCTGTTCTCGCCGGCGGCGCCACGCCAGGCACCCTCGAGCTCCACACCGCGCTCACCTGGGCGGTTGGCCAGTACGCTGCACCCGAGACCTCCCCGTCGTTCACCTCGGAGGTCCTCGACGATCTCCACTCGACACTCCAGGTCATGGTTTTTGAGCACATCGCGTCGGCCGCGCAGGGTCGCGACGTGCTCGCCGCCCTCGGCTTTGAGCCCGACGTCCTCAACAGACTCATGTACATCCTCATCTCGGCCCTTGCCAAGCTCGCCGCTCGCTACCAGACCCTCACTCCCTCGGTCACCCTCTGCCTCACCAAGCTCATCTCCAAGGCCGATCTCTTCGATCCGTACGTCATCTCGGCCGCCTCGCAGCACATCCGCCTCCTCCAGTTCCCCGGCATGGCCGCCGCCCTCCTCGCTGCCCCGACCCAGCCCGGCTACGTCGACGACAACTCCTCGCTCGCCTTTGTCCTCCAGGCCCACACCTCCATGCTCGGCTCGCGCGAAGCTTTCGGCGAGGTACATGCCTTTCACAATGGATAATTCATCCATCATACCGCTGAAGAAGTAGACCAACGAGACATCGAGCGAATGAAAACGAGAATCGCGGAAAAAGTAGGGTGCATGCAGGTGAAAAACAGAGATCTCCGGTCAACGCCAGATACCTCAGTTTCCCCTCAGCTTCCCCAGTCGTATCCCACTCAGCTAGACGAGTACCACGCATCCCCCCCAGATGTCTTACTTGTCCCACAGCTCCACTTCCCCATCTCCGATCCCCCCTCCCTCCTGCTCACCGCTTCCCTCATCCCCACCCTTCCCGCCGCTGCCAATTCGGCCAGCCAACCCAAGATTCACCAAACGACTCGGGCCGGGACCGAGACGGGCAGCGGCAACGGGCACACGGCTCTCCTGCACACCCAGTTGAGACCATGTCGCGAGTGCTGTCGAACGGAAAGGCGCAGCCTTCGCCGACGCTGAGCAAGGAGAAGCGGGCGCGGTTTCGGGAGGCGTTTGCTCGGATGGACCACGACGGGTCGGGCCAACTCAACGCTAACGACATTAGCGAGCTGCTCAGCAGGCTCGGGTACGAGGTGACGCGGGAGGAGGTGCTGGGCTACATCGGCGAGGTGGACGAGGATGGTGATGGCGAGATCTCGTTTCCAGAGTTTGTGGACATGCTGACGCTGCACAAGAACGCGGTTCTTGCCGGAGTCGTCGATGATCTCATTCTCTCGGACGAGCAGATTCGCGAGCTGGAGGACGTGTTCAACCTGTTTGACGCTGATCGCGATGGCACCATTTCGGCGAGCGAGCTTGAAAAGGTGCTGCGTGATTTGGGGCAAGAGGTGGATCATGACGAGCTGGTGGAGATGATTGCCGAGGTGGACGAGGACGGCAACGGGGTCATCGACTTTGACGAGTTCTGCCTCATGATGTCGCGGCGGATGAAGGACTCGGACCTGCAGTCGAACATTGCGTCTGTCTTTTCGCTGTTTGATCCCGACGAGACCGGCGCTGCCACGCCCGACGCCATCGTCTCGGTCTTTGCCTCGGTCGGCGAGACCATCACCCGTGCCGATGCGGTCCGGCTCCTTCGGGCCGCCGACGCCGACCACGACGGCTACGTCACGCTCGATGACCTTCTGGACGTCATGGGCATCACGCGGTCGGGCTCGTCGGCCTCGCTCCACACCATGTCGGCGCTCAATCTCTCATCGTTCCTCTCGTCGTCACAGAGTCTGGCGTCGCTTGCGCGCGACGGGTAGTTTACGCGTCGGGCGAGTCGTGCTCAGCGAGGAGGGCCTTACTCGCCTGCAGAGCGTCGTTGGCGGCGGCGACCGCGGCGCCGGCGTCCTCGGACGACGCCGGGTCGACTGCCTGGGTCTCCATGACCTCCTCGAGGTCCTCGACAGCTGCGGTGAGCCGCTTGATGCAATCTGCGATCATCATGTGCGACTCGGCAGCGACGGCCTTCTGCTTGTTCACATCGTACTCGTCGCGGCCTTCGGCCTCGTACTTGCGAACGCGCTCGGCCTCGCGCTCAGACTCTTCCTTGTACCCGTGTGTCTCGCGCGAAATGCTGTATGTCGATGGCCAGCACAGCATCCATCATTAGCAAGTGTGGCGATCAAAGCACACCCATGACCATCCCCAGCACATCCACAGCCATCATGACCATCCCCAGCACATCCACAGCCATCATGACCATCCCCGCACATCCACATCCACCATGACCATCCCCAGCACATCCACATCCACCATGACCATCCCCAGCACATCCACAACCATCATGACCATCCCCAGCACATCCACATCCACCATGACCATCCCCAGCACATCCACATCCACCATGACCATCCCCAGCACATCCACAACCTTCTTTCCATCCCCAGCACATCCACATCCACCATGACCATAGCCTCCTCCACATCCACCAT